CCGTGCAGCTGTGCTGTCACAACAGAAATCCCTCCCGGCACCACGCAGCTACTGCAGCGCAATAAAAATGGAGCGGAATCTATCCTCGCCGGATGATCGATCGAAGACAACGAGGATGTCGTAATATGGATGTTCCGGGAGGTCTTCGCCCGTAAGCACCTTATCCAGGTCTGCAGTTCGAACCACACCAGACTGCACGCGTGACGCATACAGCTCCCGTTGCTCTTCGTTACCGACGAATATCTCGAAGAACAATGCAGGAAATTCGTTGAGGACAGTGATCAGGTATGACACGAGTTCGCGTTCTGCGGCAGCATTCAGCACAAGCTCGGATGTGACATATAGAACTACTCGTCACCTTTTGTAGCGATTGCGACTCGCACTACGCGCTGAGGGGCATCTCGAGCCAAGGATGTCACGGCACGTTGCAAAGCCGCCCCCTGTTGGAGTGCAGCTGATTTCAGAGCCGACGCCAGCGAATGAGAATCAGCCTTATTGCAAATTAGCAACCAAGCACTGATGCACAGGCTAACCAGCTCACATAACAGTTAATCGTATCCAGCTTGATTCGCAGCGGATCATTGCACGATAGGGAAGCAGGGGTTGGTTGCTGTGGGGCAAAGAATGCAGGCTGATAGATAAGGTGTAGAGGCCGTTGCACGGCGGGTAATGGATCGATGTGATGTTTAGCCACTATAAGTGATTGCAGGGAGCAGATACGCTGTCCGTAATCATCCACGAGCGCAATGTCGTAACATATCTGTTCTATTAATGATACCCTGGTGAGCTGTTGTCCTTCAAACATGAATAGGACGGTACTACCTGGCCACCATTCTTTGAGGACGACATGCGCATAGAGATGATGCGGCAGCTGTTCCTCAGCAAGATTGCGGTGGAGGAGGACTGCATCGACGTGTGCAGGAAGGTAATACGCATTCTGATCATAGTTGCCGTTGAAAGGCCTGTGCGCCGTCATGTGCAGGCAGGCATCCAGAATTGCAGGATGTAATCGATATCTGCCAGACCTACGGCAAAGTCACGTATGTGAGTCGGGAGGGTAGAAGGACAACATACTGCTTCAGTGCATTATCCATCCCTTTGATGGAGACGAGAGCTTCTTTCTCGCTGTAATAGACGTTCGTCACGCGACGCAGTCGGGGGCCGTAGGCAGAGAAGTATGAGAGAGACGAGTAGAACGCTGTACAGAATCCGCCATTCAGTATTGAACCTGTCATACAGCCCCAAAACTGCGTACATGAGCCCACATGGTTTTTGCATCGCTGTCGGATTGTGGCAATATCTATATCTTTGAGAGGCTGAGATGGCTCGAACGTCAAGTATCCATCCGCATGCAGGCGCTTCTGCTGCTGGGTGAAAGGGATCGGTTACTTATATGTACTGTGCATGGAGTCCCAACGATGCCTACTTTGCCCGAGTGCCAATCATGAGACGTGACAGATTGGACTTTCCAATACGACGAGTTCAGCTCCACTTCTACCGCCGGTGGGGTCTCAGATGAAAGGGACAAAATCGCCTTGAGGTCAACGTGCAGAAGAGCAGTGGCGCCAAACTCGATGGCCTAGACACACAACAATGAGAAGTTGATAGCACGGATAAGAGACAGAAACAATACCATCTCGATGAATCCCGCCGCGGGCATGATTGGCTCTCCTCTGATGACATGCTCTGCAAGGACCGGATGCGTATCCTTGTTGATTCTGAGATACCGGTGGTTCAGTGGTCCAAGATGGGGTTCCATCTGTTTCGCATATCCAGGCGTGTCCGGATAGAGTGCGTAGCTCTTCTTCGAGAATGGATAGGCGGGAAGGGAGACGTCGCATTCGTAGCAGGCTCGATTGTTGAGTGCGGTAAAATTGACCCCATTGAACCCAGAGGCGGTCAGCTCACCGCACACCCTCAATAGATCGACGTGATCCACAGACGGCATGTTTGGCTTCACGCGATGCATCGTTGATATGACCGGGCTACCGTCGCCGGCCATGGATGAGATGTAGGACACCAGGACAGGATGTGGTGAAATCTCTACAAATGTGCACGACTGCGACGCGGTAAGCCTTTCCATCGCTTGCGTGAACCGTACGGGCGATCGCGTATTCCTCCAGAAGTAGTCGGCGTCGATCGAGTCGGACAACCTCTCTCC